TTGTTTTCTGTCAGGGCTGAAGGCCTCTACTGGACAGGAATGCTTGTTGAATGGTGCCCAAGGGGGAAAAGAATCTTCTATACCAGACGGTACTGGCAGACCACTTAATACTTTTTCCCCCTGCTGTGCTAGATCCTGCATGATTTTTAATTGCATTTTTACAGACATGCCACAGATCAACTGAATGAAGCACAATGACCTTTGGTGGTCTACAGATCAATTTGGGAACCCCTGCTTTAAATAAAAGTAACTAACTAAATATAACTTGTTTACTATGAGTTTTTTTGCCCTTTTAGAAAAAAGAATCAGACTAAGGAACAGCAAAATATCTCATGTGGTGCTCACTTTTATGGATGGTGAGGGGCAAACAAGCCTTGCTGAGGTCTGCAGAGAAAGCAGAAAAACTTTCTGTATTAAATCCCCAGTGAAATACTTCAGTAAGGAGCAGTAATCATGAGTCAGCCCTCCTTCATTCTTCCTCTTCCTTTACTGGCCTCCTAGAGTAATTCAGCTACACAGTACTTTGTTCCTCTTCTTAATAAATGTTCTCCCCACCACCACCTTCACAATCCCCAGCAGTGAAAGGCTTTGTAAGGAGCCAGATGTTTTGACTAATTTGCCATTCATTTCCATAATTGGGTAATACACTGGCTTATTAACTCATACTGAAGACGTAGTGGGTGGATACTGCTGAAGAAATATGACACTGCAGTTGGCAACTCACTGATTATGTGTTGTACCATAACTTGATACAGGTGGAGTTCAAGGGAGACGCTTTACAGCAGTATGATACTTTTTTTTGTCTTGATACTGTAATTCTGTAATGCTCACCCGGGAGTAAGCCCCACTGAGCGCAGTGGATGTATGTAATTTAACATCTGGGTAGACATGTACTGCTAAATGGATAAATCCATATACTGTTAATGGATAGCTGTAGCTTCCACATGCTATTAAACTGGAGAAGACTGCATCCCTTAAGATAGAAATAAACATCATAATGATGTTCCTCATAATGAGGAAAAGTGGTTGTCAGTGCCTAGACATGCATTGGGAAGCAGTCTGCCCTTTCATATCTGTGTATAAATAGGCTGCGTTTTTCCCTCATTCGGGCAATACTGGAAGCAATATTTCAGACTGCAAATTTTAGATGGCAATTTCAGTCTTTTTAGAACCAGCTTTTCACAGAGCTGTAGAATATGGAACTGGCCATTTCTATAACCTAGATCATACCTTTACAAGTTAACCAGAAGCCTTTGGACTTTAAAGTCCTATTGCTTTGACTCAAGGTATGTTGACATCGTGACCAAACATTATTTATGGCTACTGGAAGGTAGTTCTACTTCATTGTTGTACCTGAATTAGATTGGGCATATTGAAATCAATGGACACAACTGACTTAATCTTATTGATTTCAGTGGTTCTACTCTAAGTAGGGATGGAGGAAAGATCTGATTCATTATGCATTTAAAGCCAAATCTATCAAATTCACACTTTCCAAAACAGTACGCAAACCAAAACACACCCATTCTTTGAAATTCATAATTATCTGTAATTATTTGTAATTATCCAAAGTATTACAGCCTTAAAAGAAATCAATTTCATTGAAAATCCACAATTTACCAAATGAAAGAATTAAATTCACATCTGATGATATGGTGGAACTTAATTCCTTGGCAGAGGAGCAGAATACACATGTTTAACTGCAGAATAACAGCATCAGCAATTCCACATGATGCACATGTAAGAATGTGATATATTTTTATATGGACCTATTTATTTTTATTTTTTAAAATATTGTTCAGGTACATTTGGCTGGAGGGTTGGATTAACAAGTGCATACTTCTAGCAAGTGCTTACTCAGTAGCAAAACAATCTGAAATAGACTCAGAGTCGTAAAGTGATTTCATGCTCTTTATTCAGCTCATAGTGGTGAGGAGGAATGAATGAATGTCCCCTCAAAGTATCTGCTTTATATACATTATTTACACAATGGGCTGCACATGATTGGCTAATTCCGGAATTCTACTGTAAGCCAATCAGGTTGTGGATTCACTTCTATCTGGAGCATGATTGGGTGGTTCCTGCCAACCAATCATACTGCTGCATTGTTCTAGGACCAATCAGACTGCTGCATTTTGGATCCTATTCAACTCAGTACATAACACAATCATAAAATTTGTCACTTTGTATTTGTGAAGAGGCTTTCAGCAGCATGTTTGAACCTGAAGTTCCCACAGCCAAACCAAAACTTTACAACAGCCACATCTCGCTGGCTCCAAGTGTAAAATCTTGACACTTTGATTCAATAGGCAACACAATCAAACCAGCAGAAGATAGAATTAGCTAGTGTGTCCTTTAATCTAAAGTAACCACAAGCAATTGTGTTGCTACATAGATAGCAGCCTCAGTAGCAAGAAATATCACAGAGCAGTTGGCTAAGAATCTGTGCACAAAGGGAGCCCCTGCTGCAGCAGTCTCCAAACAATTTATCCTCTCATTAAGATACATTGGACTACTCAAGAGTAAACTGCTCTAATAGTTCTAGCCATTGCAATGTCTCTTCTCAACTGCTGCTTTTTGGAATAGTAATGGCAAAAGTTGGTTTGAGGGACATTCCATTCCATGATCAAAATATTGGTTGGAATAACTGAATCAGCAGGTTCCACTGCCAGACGACCTTGGAATTAACTGCCACAATCCAAGTGTGGACTATTCACTGAGGAGATTTAATCTACTGAGACTGTCTGAGAAGAATGGCATTTGGGAAACAGGCAACTTTTAATATCCTCAAAATGAAATGATGCAAGACGTTGAAGCACTGGCAGTGTAAACAGGCAGTTAATTTTGGAATTTGATTATTGGCTATGCTGAAATATATTCTCAAGACATCCCTCTTGTGGAGGAACCACAGATCACTAAACAATTGCCGGTTGTCAATCCTTCACAAACCCCTAAATTCATGAAAGTTACCTCTAAAGTTATGAAAGAAAGGAAGTAGTAATAAAATGAAAATTATAAAGTATTGGCGATTCTTGAAAGCATGCTGCAGCAATGGCAACAGTGGAGAGCTAATATAGCATAAAGCTATATTAGGTGTTATGTCAGTTGTGATGCTTGGCTTTCGTTAAAACAAGTATGACCAAATAAGATTTCACCCAAAACAGCATCTCTTGTGCCTTCCAAAGGAGATACCCAAAATGGAAAAGAAATGCCTTCTCTGGGCATCACAAGCCCCCAGGCAGAATTACACATCCCAAGGGCCAAATTCCAGTAACAGCCTTCTGCTGGGGATGGTTTGATTTCTGTTGAGACTTATGGTTAAGATAAAAAAGGTTGGCTGGCTGGCTGATTAAATTCTGGCAGAACAATTATTGTATAACCTAGGTTGTTCAGAGCAGGGTGGTAATCTGAATGATGACTGAACCAATCAGTTTAATACCTAAACTATAAGCAGTGGTTGTGAAATCTGTGAGTATACCAGATTAATGGACACTTTACAGATAGCTCCATATGGAATATAGGACTTCCAGACCTTCACAAACATATTGCAGAGGAAGAATTTACGGCTGTCACAATATCCGGCACAAGATGGGGTGCCTCATCAGGGCCTGTTAGACTGAGATGGGAGGGCTGGTGTATTTGTTTTAGTGTCTGTATTGTCAAAGCCTGGATGTCATGAACCACTTGTGCATCATAAGGTGAGATGGCCAAAGATAGATGGGCACTGACTGTGCGTACAATGCAAGCCGATATTAATACATTTCGACTCACGTAGGTGTGGTAGGTGGTGTCCATTCGGCCAGGAGAACACACATTGCTTTGCCAGGAGAGGTGACAACATGGAAATGTGTGCGCGTTTGGGATTCTTAGTAGCTTTGGCATCTGTTATTTGGAGGATTCACCTTATCAACCAAAAGAAGAAAAGCAGGACCCTCAATGCTTTGGGCAGGCTGCTATCTAGGGAGGCATGAGCACAGAACACAAGCCAAGATCTTTTGTAAGGTCCCAAAGCAATAAATATGACTAGGAATGGTTTGCCCGTCCGCCCTGCCATATCCCTTATGGTGTGGGCGAGTCTTGCTCGCTTATTTGGGTGTTGTGGAGAGGCTGTGAGCGGGTTAAATAACACGAGTGTTTTGTGGCTAGGGCGAACAAGATCTATTGTTACATAAGGTGCCACAATACTCCTTGGGCGATCTTGGCCCAGTCATGTTTTTCCCCCGGCACGACCTACATTGCAAGAGGATGAAGAGGCAAGTGATATGTAGGTGCCCCCGAGGCAGGGGAGCCTAGAAAGGTATGGAAATGTGTTGCTGTTGCTATGGCTTTTGACGCGCACGGGGTGTTCGCTACACGGGAAGCGTTGCCCTTGGGTGTTGCGAAGGGGAAGAGTGCGGTGTATCGCGTGCGCACTGACAGGTTCACACATGCCCCAGCGCCCTCCTCACACTCGCCCCGTGTCCGGGCGCGGCTGCCAAGAGCGGGAGAGTCAACCTGTCAGTATCGCCGAGGCGGAAAGGGGAAACTCGGGCCGGGTGTAAAAGAGCCGCTGTGAGGTGAATGCCGCGTTCCACTGATGGGCCGTGTGGAAAACCGGGGCGATGCGCGCGGGTGGGGGGGGAGGGAGGGGCGGGGCGAAGGAGGAAGAAGGCTCTTCTGTTCCTTCAGCGCAACCACGTTTTGCACCAGTCCCGAAAAAAAATGACTCTTTCGGAGGCGGAGGCAGAACGGAGCGAGGAGCGGAAAGCGAAGGCTGATAGGCTGCCGCACACCGCGGCTGACCGCGTCCCCCCAATCGAAACCAGCGCCACGCCCCCCGAGGCCGCGCCCCCGCCCCCCCAGACGAAGCCGGAGGGTCGGCGGGCGAATCGCGAAGCCGCGTGTAGGCGTGGCGGTTGGGACTGGTCGCCAGGCCGTCTGGGTGCCAATCAGCTCGCGGGGAGGCGTGACCGGTCCCCGCCCGGTTGCCGGGGCCGCCGCCAATGAGCGAGCCGGCGGTGGGCGGGCCCTGGCGGCGGGCGGCGCGGTTGCCGGGAGCCGTCGCCAATGAGGAGGCCCCGAGTGGGCGGGCCCGCGCGGCGGGCGGCTCTGGGGTTCCGTGTGGAAAGGAGTGCGAGGGGGTTCGGGTGCAAAGTTTAGTTTCAAACCGTCTGCAAAGAACGGCGGTGCCGCTGCTGCTGCTGCTGCTGGTGGTTCTCCTTCGAACAGACGGAGGCGGCGGCTGAGGAGAGCGGAAGCAAAGGAGCCGGAGCGTCGACAGCCTGAAGCGGCCGAGGCGCAGTCGAAGAGCCGCCGGCCGCCGCTCCCCCACCTCCCTCGGCAACAGCGGCCGCTTCGTGGGCGCCGCCTGGGTCCTGCCGGGTCCGCTCCGTCTCGGGCGAAGATGGGCGCGGAGGCTCCGGTCCGGCGCCGGCACGGGTGCCGCCGGGCGCGCCTGATGTGCATGCTGGCGCTGACCTTCCTGTTCTTCGTGGTGGAGGTGGCGGTGAGCCGCGTGACGGACTCGCTGGCCATGCTGTCGGACTCCTTCCACATGCTGTCGGACGTGATGGCGCTGGTGGTGGCGCTGGTGGCCGTGCGCTTCGCCGAGCGCACCCGCGCCACCAAGAAGAACACCTTCGGCTGGGTGCGCGCCGAGGTGATGGGCGCGCTGGTCAACGCCGTCTTCCTGACGGCGCTCTGCTTCACCATCCTGCTCGAGGCCATCGAGCGCTTCACCGAGCCCAACGAGATCAAGCAGCCCTGGGTGGTCATCGGCGTCGGCGCCGCGGGGCTCCTCGTCAACGTCCTGGGGCTCTGTCTCTTCCACCAGCACGGCGGCGGCGGAGGAGGTCACGGCCACTCGCACGGGGGAGGAGGAGGGGGCCACCGGCGCCGGGGCAAGGCAGAGCAGCCTCCCGGAGAGCGGCAGAAAGAGGAGGAGACCAACACCCTGGTGGACAATTTCAGCAGCTTCAATGGAGTCAGCCTGGAGAAGCTAGGTGAGCTGGGGGGGGGGGGGAGGGTGGGCGAGCAGGCCTCCCCTCTGCCCGGGGATGCCTGGCTTCTCCCAGACACAGCCCCAAATATGAGGGGTACCCGGAAGCGGTCGGAGCCTCCATCAGAATCAGGTTATTGGGCTGAACAGGTCTTTAATATTCCCACTAAGCTGATGGCATGGCAATATTTCTAGTCTGCACAAGAGCTTGTAAGCAGCACTTCTAAGCAGACATTTGCATTCCGTAGGTTCAAAGATAAAATGAAACTGCCCTTTCATGAGGAGTTGCACACTTCAGATCTTGTAGTCATGGTGGTGGTAGTTGTCGTCGGTGCATAATCTGCCTCCTATTGCAACTTGGTTCCATTTAAAGACCTGGCAAAAGGGGAAGTGCTACTGGAAACCAATACCATGCAAAGGCTTTGGGTGTAGATCAAGGAATGTCAAGGAGCTCATTCTGCCCATCAGGAATGTTGGGAAGGCAGTTAACAAAAGCTGCTGCAGCACCCATTCGTTCTGTTTTATGGAAGGACCCCTTTGTACAGAACAGGAACACACCTTACTTTATAGAATAAGTACCTTGAATTCCCTACATGAAAGCCACCAACATTTCACAGTCTTTGCTGGTGGCATTAAGCTTTCGCAGAACGCAAGGAAAGGCCTACTGCAGTGCTTTTCAAATTTCTTACCTTTAGAGTCCCCTTCCCAAGATGTCTGCTGAGACAACCCAGCATGTCTACCTTTGAACCTTGCAGAGGAGTCTGATGCAAATTTTAAAGCACATATGTCAGGTCAGGTATGCCTTCCATCCTACGTTAATGAAAAGTATGACTTTAGGAACCATAAGTTCCTGTGACCATGCATTGCAGGGGAAATTCAGTAGTGGTGGACAAGCTGCTACAGAGGAAGTTACTGCTGTCAATGTTCTTGCCACTGAGAAACCCTTGGACTTCTCAGAACAGTTTTGACAACTGAGGTCCTACAATCAGCCTTCTTTCTTTTACAGCTTGATGAAGGAAACTTTATATCCTATAGCACAATTTGGGCTCATGGGGAAATCTGCAGAACCCACTATGTAAGGGTTAACACATTGCATTAAAGTAGACAGAGTGGCAAAGCTCACAGGAAGCTGCAGCTTCTGTTAACTGCCTTACCAACATTCCTGATGAGCAGAATGAACTCTACTGACATTCCTGATCTACACCCATAGCCTTTGCATGGTATTGGTTCCAGTAACTAGAAGCACTTCCTCTTTTGCCAGGTCTTTAAATGGAGCCAAGTTGCAGTAGGAAGCATATTATCCATAGATGACAATGATCATGACTATAGATGTGGAATGTAAAATTCCTTAGGAAAAAGCAGTTTTGTTTTATTTCTGATCCTACAGAATACAGTGTCCGTTTATAAGTGTTGCTTACAGCTCTTCTACAGACTTGAAATATTGCAAAACCATCAGTGTAGTCAGAATATTAAAGACCTATTCAGCCCGATATAATTTCCTGGGATAGTACCAAAATAAAAGTGGAGTGGTGCAAATGTTTACATTGTTGCTCATTGCTATGTCAGCTGAACTACTTCGCTCTGCTTTGGTATTCTTGCTTAACTTTGTTTTCATTAAAGTTTTTATCATTAGTAATTTGGTTTTTGTAAAAAAATGAAAATAAAGGCCCTATGTAGTTGGACTGTCATCTCTTAATTTCAGGCCACTGGAACTCATAATTGATCCTAGCAACACCTCAGATGAAAGAATTTATCTACTGTAGAAATAAATGAGAATATATGGCAATGCACTACATTTAATATAATTTTAGTTTATGCCAGTAAATTATTTTACGTCTGTATTTCATGTTTTAATAGGGAGTCAGTGCTAGGATAATAGTCGGGCGGCATATTATGACATATCTGGCCAAGTAGTTGTATGGCAAAGTTCCCTTTCATAGAGAAGTGGACCGACTTCTCTCTTTCTGTCTCTAGAGGGTGCATGTCTTATTTCTACAACCCACCAGTCATCCTAAGTATTGACACCTAGGTAGCACACTGTTGTTCCTCTAGGACTGTATGTGGCCCAGAGTTTTCCACTGAAGCTAGTCCATACAGTTGAAGGATGATTAGCTGTCAACAGACTACACAGCTATATTTTCTTTACTGAACTGCAGGTGAATGGAATTAAATATATTTTAAAAGTTATTCCAAGCATGGCAAACCTTGTATGTCCTGCCCCATGTATAGTAAGGATTTTAAGTTGAACGTAAGCTTTGCAAAATACTAGAGGGGCATAAACTTAGTCTGGCAATAGTTGGAGGTGATAAATGTTAGGCCTGGCAGGACAAGACTAGCACAATTAGGCAATATGCTGGCTTATTCACTGAGCTTTATTTCTTGGTGCAAAACAGGAAGGAGGGATTTCTTGAGTAGTTCCTATAGCTGCAGGTCATGAAGCCTAATAGTGTTGTATCAGTGTGCTTAGTTCATATCTTAAGCATATACCTGTTAGCAGGCATTGACTTTCTGCTACTTTTAAAAGCTGTCTTTTTTTAGTATGCATGAACATAACTCTTGAACTCACTTGAGGATGCTACTTCTGGGACTTGTAAAGTACATTATATAGGTGGAGTTTACCTGGTGAAACAAGTGTGGGAGTTGTGATGGTTTCCAGTTCTACCGGTTATATTGGTGAAATCACCAGGCAAAATTTTGCTCACAGTCGGTATCCATGCGTGAATATCTCAAAAACTTCTTGCAGTTCACAAAAAGAAAAATCTCATTTGATGTAATGGCTGGTTTGTTTTGGCAAACCCATTTGTATGACATTCTAGTGTGAGAACAATTGCTTGTGTCAAAAAGCTGCAGAGAGGTTTCTCAAAACTATTGGTATCTGGGACAGTCTCTTTTATCTGAATCAGAATTGAGGGCACACTTGTGAAGGAAGATGGGTGCATGTTTGTTTCAATAAAATTCAAAGTTGAAATAAATTCCAGTTCAAAATAATACTTGCATAACAAAGGCTGCAGTAATGGCATTTGACTTCATATGGTCTTGACAGATGCCACTCTTTTTGGATAGACATCACCTGCCATTGCAGTGACATGGCTTCTCTGCCATGTCATTGTGGACATGTAGGCATGTATAAGCTGCTTCATATCTGTGACATGATTTTTCATGGTAGTGACATATTTCAACTGATGGTACCTGTTGTGCAGACTGGAGCTTTATTTTTTGGAAAATATGAAATGTCTCACTTCTCTCCCCATTCCTTGCTGCACACAGACTGCATGCTCCTTTAATCTTCCCTCCCTTTCCACCCAATCTTACTGAATCATTACCAAATTTAATAAAACAATGCATGAGAGCTAGTGTAGTGTTGTGATTCTGAACTTAGAAGCCTCCATTCAGTTCTTAGCTCCGCCACCATCAAGCCACCCTCTCTCAGCTGGCTCCCTTGTAATACAGATATAATAGTGACCTACTTTAGTGTTATAATAAGGAATACTGAGAATACATGGAATCCTTTGAATGCTCTGAATCAGTATTTCTAGATTGCAAGTCAGAACCCATAGCTGGGGCAAATGCCCAATCAAGACTAGCAAAAATACCACCATTTTGTTGTTTTTATCCTCTTGGGTTAGGATATTAACCCCCCCCCCCCCAATGAGAAGAGCAGAAAGGTGGTTATAGTATTAAAATATTAATATTGGGATTCCTTATTACAGGTTGCTGTTAAAAGTGGGTCTGTGATCTGAAAAGAAGACTTCTCTCTATAGTGTTTGAAAAACTAGTGGTTCCAAAACTCTACAAAGAGACCTGCCTTCTATAACTCCTCTCCTCCAAATTTTATATTGTCCCCAATATTGCTAGCAGTCTGTTAACCAACCCCCCAAAAGGCTTCCTATCCATGTAACAATGTTGCTCTTGTGTTTGCAGGTGATGGGGCAAAAGAGAACCAAATGGAACTTCAGCCAAATGGGAATATTGATAATGACACCTCTCTGGACATAGAACCTGACGAAGACACTAGTGGTCAACTCAATATGCGTGGAGTATTTCTTCATGTTCTTGGAGATGCCCTGGGCTCCGTTATTGTTGTGGTGAATGCTTTAGTATTTTACGCTTACTGGACTCCTTGCCCCAAGGATGGGCCTTGTATTAACCCATGTATCAATGACGATTGTGCAGAAAACATTACTCAGTTGTCTTCTAGAATGAATGCAACTGAGTTATGGAAAATTCCTGTAGCTGGTCCCTGCTGGGTTCTATATTTAGATCCTGCATTGTGTCTCATAATGGTTTGCATTCTGCTCTATACAACTTACCCACTTCTTAAAGAATCTGCCCTTATCCTATTGCAAACTGTTCCGAAACAAATTGATATTCGTTCTTTAAATGCGAAACTCCGCAAACTGGAAGAAGTTGAAGCTGTCCATGAATTGCATGTTTGGCAGCTGGCAGGAAGCAGGATCATTGGCACTGCTCACATTAAATTTAAGGACCCAGAAACATACCTGAAAGTTGCGAAGGATATTAAAGAGATATTTCATGATGAAGGGATACACGCAACAACCATACAGCCTGAGTTTACTATTGGGGAGGCTGTAACCAAATGTGAACTTCCCTGCAGAACCCAGTGTGCTCTGAAGCAGTGTTGTGGAACTACGGAAAAGACTAGTGCAAAGAAGACCGATAAGTCCCCTTCCGTTTCTATTTCTTTCTCTGAAATAGCCATTGACTCTTCACAACACAAAACCAGGAGGACTAAATCAGAGTGTATACCTGCTGTAAAGCTTGGGGAAGATCCTAACAAACAATTTGAATCGTCTTTGTAATTCCCAAAGTTGTGCTGAATGAAGTCTGCATTCAACCACAGGTTGATTTTGAGAAGAAAGACTAGCATTAAAGAGACAAGTTGCAAAGTATTGTAATTGTTGAAATCCCTGTTCTGGTCATAATACTTAAATCTAGGCTGCCTGTTTGAAAGGATATAATTGTGCCGTCCCAACACAATATGTGCTTGTGTTAACTTTTAGTTGAACTGCACCGAAAAGTTTACAGATGCTTCAACAACTCTGGAGAACCAGTATCAACATTTCTGCCAAGATGCTTTTTTTTTTTTTTTGGATTAAAAATTAAAATTGAGTTCTTCAGCAACCCATTTCTCCATTTGGAAATCAGTATGTGTTAGAGAAATCCAGGAAGAAGCCTTTCTACTTATTGTGTGTGTGAATGTGAATGTTTTACAAACCATAAAGAAAGGAAGCCAAAGTTGGCAGAATTATTTTTTTAAGGTAGACTATTTGAGGATTTTTTTCCCTTATACATGAAAAAGTGAACCCTATTTCATGTAGGTTATACTCCATAGTATTAGTAGTAGCATCTTAAAACATATCTAGTACTGGTTTATTAAAAAAACAAACCCTGTTTTTGTGTTGTACTGGGGGCCTAATGAAAAATGGCTGCTTTGAAAATAGGATTTGTAAAAGATACGCATATCCACATGACTGTAAGGATAACTTTTAAGACAGAAATTGACCAGTCCTTTTAAAGGCATCTCAGTTTGTGCATTCCTCAATTGTATAGGTTTAAGAATTTTTTAAGAACACCTTACTTTCAAGTAAATTTATGCCAGAACTAGAAACAGCTGATATTTGTCATTGCGGTGTCATCTATGGCTTGCCGAAATGGAAGGGTAAATATTGTCTGGATTACATCTAGTTTTGAGTTAAAAGAATGTTTTTTACTTTTTTAAAAAAACATGGAATTTAGCAGTGTATAAACATTAATATATTCTCATTTGATGTATTTCATGATGAGCCGTGATGAGCCATTTTACCCAATGTGCAGCTGAAATGCATTCTTTTTAACACAATACAGGCAGCTGCTTCACGAAGCAACTGTTACAACTTACTAAGCTGCTTCAAATCAACCTCCTCAACCTGGTGCCTTCCAGATGCTTTGAACTGCAACTCCCCTCTGCTCCAATCAACATGGCAGTGGCCAGGGGTGATGAGTTTTAGTCCAAAACCACCAGGAGGGCATCAGGTTAGAGAAGGATATAGCACACCTTGGCTTATTGTGACATGAGTGAGCTTTGAGATTCATCTGTGAAGAGACCAGAAGCTTTCACATCCACTTTTGATCAATTGCAGCTGTTCAGTTCATCCAAACTCAATAATAATTATTAAATAAGATGTGGTTGAAACAAATCAACTTCAAACTATGGGTTATGAAGCAGGCTTTTTTCAACAAATCATAGTTTATCCACAGTTTAGGTTTTGGATATAATGGTGAATTGTGCTCAATTGAAGCTAATAAAACAAAACCAGAAGTGAAAGCTTTTGACCTCCTTGTAGCCACACAGAGGAGCAGCAGGAGCTTGAGACTATTTGGGCCTTCTTCCTATCAATAAACCATGGCTTATTGTGACATCTGAACTCCTCCACCAGTCAATTCTCATAACCTGGAACACATTTTGTGTAGTGAAGGCATGTGTTGGAGCAAATTCTAGCCTACTTCAAACTTTTCTGCTCTTTGGTTTTGAGGAGCAGTTAGTGCTACCTGTTCAGAAATGGAATTGCTGCACAAATTTGTGGATTCCAGTCAAGCCACTTGGCTAATCCTCTTAAAATCAGCCACCTTAGTTCTATTGAAGTTGCAGAGGCTAATCTTATGTTGAATGCAAGGATGCTAGCCAATAGGTTTCTGGATCTCAACTAGCCTTTACCCGTTCTTGATCAATTAAAAATAGAGCTAATTCTTAAATCAGAGGTGGCATTAATGCTGACTATTTCTAAAGCATTTTTAAGAGCCCTTATTGGAAGTCTTTATGGGATTGCAAGATTTCCTTATATATTTTAGTTATTCCAACAGTTGATTTATGTACAATTGCTGTAGAACCAGGAAAGAGGACTGTTGAGGTCTTCCTTATGCATTGCTACTTTACCTTTTTGGTGGTGGGGGGATGTAATTTGCATTGTTTAAATGCAGGCTCTTTTATTATATGGCTATTTAGGTTTGTTCCCCAACTTCAAAATGGAAAGTCACTAATTTGACATGGAATTGCAAACAAAGCAAGTGATCAGTGGCTTCCACTCTGCACCTCCTGCTCAGCAGTGTTGCAGTCAAACCTCATTTTTCCAGAACAAAATTATTCTGTTAACAAGCTGTAAAGTGTTGGAAAGGTGTATTTGTGAAATGATCAAATACATCTACCTTTGCCTTCTGGGCTCTTTGTTATAAAGGCCACTTGTTTGTTAATACTCCCAGTTTGTCCCCCACATATTATTGCACGCATGTAAAAACTGCTGTACAATTCTCATGGAGCTGTAGTTTAATAAGATTTTTTCAGCTGCTTTTCTTTCACATTGACATGGCTAGATTGGTATAGCTGGGAACAGGCAGGCATATATTGATGGACAGGCAGAAAAGTTACAATAATACTGTAAATTCTGGATCTTGAAGCCAAGGTTTCCTATCTTTTTAGTGCTAGAAGTATGAGCTTGCTCACTCACCCTCCCTCCCTCCCTCTTTTTAAAATGTGTGTGGCCTATATCCCACATAGTAAACATTCTAGTTCAACAGAGTCTCACTTTTAACCTCATCTGTCCCCTGATGGGCCAATTTTTTATTTTTTTTTAAATTTCTGGGTTAGTATACTTTGCAATATGGTAATAGCTTTTTTCAAAAACTGCTGCGTCTCTCTAAAGCACGAACTTTGACTCTCATATTGAGTTTGCACTGCAGTGGTAAGGGAGAAAAGCAGCTAATTGTGTACCAGGTGTGGTCCTGATTATTATTATTATTACTATTATTATTATTATGCAATAGCTTGGCTTTTACAACAGAATATGTTGTGTTCATCTCTGCTTTGGCAGGTAAGGTTTCCAGTATGTCCGCTGTCTTAGGTACGTTTGGAAAAAATGGAACAGCTGGAGTACCTCCAAACTACAGGAGGCACTTTTTGTACTTGATTGTATATGAAAATATTGAAGCCAGTTTTGCAAATTCTTGTATAAGGTAGTATTTTTCTCCTGAATGCTAGTGGTGTTGAAGGCTGTTCCATGTAGATAAAAGTAATTAACACACTGTGCTCAGGACGTGCATTTGTGGTGAAGTGGCTATGCCAGTTTATTCTGCTGAAGTTTTGCAGCAAAAACTAACCATAGCTTTCTGGGATATTGCAATGAACAGAGTGCTAAGCCACCTCACATTACAAGTTTCATTGTGAAAACACACTGTTGTATTCACTGACTGTTAATATATGAAGCTGCTCAAAGAGATTTGAAATGATTGAACACTTAGGGTCTGTTTGCTGCATCACGAAATATTTGTAGAACCAGCCTCTAATACAAAGGGTGGTATTCAGCCTTTTACTCAAGAGCAGCCCTGTGGAAATTAAAGGACATAGCTTAGTAATGCCCACTAATTTCAGTGGGACTATTCTGAGCAAAACGTCGTTGAATACTACCCAAATAAATTACCTTTACAAAACAAAACTGAGTGTTTAACAGTGGTACCTAAAGTTCTGGAGAATGTTTCAAAACCACTTAAAGTGCTGGAAGCAAGTAGTGCTGAAGATGTATTTGTTATGGTATAAAATCTGCTCCCCCCCACTCTCCCAGCCTCTGAGCACCTCTAACTCTTGCCGTATGCAAATGAAGTTTCTGTTCAGAGACTCATTTAAGAGCACTGAGAGCAGCTCTGGCACTGACTCCACTGAGATAATGGGAAACTGTTTAGACTAGAATGCACTTTCTGACTTTTCTCATTGATGGGGCGGGGAACGACCTTTAACACTACATCCTCTGCTTTTTGACTTTTTAAGTTTCTCGTGAAAGGAGTATTATGTATTTAAGGGTATTAAGTACAATATTTAAATATGCTGCTTTAATTTCATAACAGCATCGATGTAGCCTTCTGGGACTCTGGCTTATGTTTACAAAACAATTATTGAATATTACAGTAAATATTCTATTTTGGTTCTATCTTGCACCATTGCTTCACCTCTTGGTGGACTGAAAGGTACTATAATGCTTCATGTGCCTGAAATAAGAACATATGTGACAGATTATTATTTTTTTTTGTAAGCCAAATGCAGCCTTACTTATAACAGGAGCTTTCATACCTCTGTGATCCTGGGTTTGTCATTAAAATGCCTGTGTGAAGAACACTTCCATGTCTTACAAATGTGTGAGCCTGAATTTTTTCCCCTCCCCCACTTGCGCTCTCCCTGTGTTAAGTGTTCTTGGGCTTAGTCTCCAAACCCTTACGCTCAGTGGTAGCTAGAGAGGCATCTCTTAAATTCTATGGGTCGTATTCGAAACCAATGCTTCGGAGACATAATTGGCATATCTGTATCTCGCGACATCATGCCAGTGACAACGGGCTTCTGCTAAACCAGTTATGACTCTGTGTTTCCTTGCATAAAACCTGAAAACTGAAAAGGAAATAAACGTTGCTGTATAAAACACGAAACTTGGCAGGGTCCTTTGTTTCTCCTCTTTTAAACACCCCTTCACTTACTGAAATTGATTTGGTAACATCAAAAACATTTCTAACTGGAGGTTTGGCTAAATGAATTTGTTCGCAGTGTGTGTGTGTGTGTGTGTGTGTGTGTGTGTGTGTGTGTGTAATGCAAGGTTAGTTTAAGTAGAGTTCTGAGACATGAGATATGGCTAACAAGATATGGTTTTTCACCAAATGTCAAGCTCCAGGCCAGTTAGGGAGCATAGGTCTGGAAATGCTTTCACACCCCACAACCTAATCTGGCTGCTAGGGCTGTGGACATGTTGCTGCAGTTAGAAAATCAAGAAGCAGCAGAATCTAGATCAAATCTTCACCTCCCTGATTCTGAACAGCTTATCAAGTCTACCCACCATACAATTAGTTCTGTGCATAGTTTTATCAGGGGTGCACTAGCTAAAAAGCCCATAAAAGAAAATTGCGTAGCATTAATATGTAGCTGCTGACATCTCTAGTAGTTGCAGTGCCTATATGCAAATTTCTGCTGGCTCAAAGGTTGCAGCCTTTTGTTACAGAAGAACTAAAAGGAAAAGCAAGTTCTTGTTGTCTGTCACAAAGCCTGTTAAGAGAGAAGCCCATAAACATTTTGTTGAAGTCCTAATTTTGCCAAGGCTAAAATGGGAGGAAGACTTGGGCAGATCAAAGGCAGAAGAGATTAAACACTGCCACACAGGTCTTCAGCGTGTCTTTAAAGTGTCCATAAAGGAAACTATCCAGGGAAGCAAAAAATAAAAAAAATCTCATGGATCACACAGCTGGGTAGATGAAAGAGCAATGAAGACATAAACTGCTTTGGGAAAATCTTGTTCTTCCCCTTGGAATTACACATGTTTTTCGCTTGTGATGCAAGAGGTCTAACATTCTTGCTTCAACTTTAAAGCACCTGCTGTTCTTGTTTCTGGAAAATGCAACTACTTTGGTTGATACAAATATAGGCTGGGGTGGGTTTCTTTGTTTAGACCCCAAGCACTTTGTTTTCGAATGTCTGTAGTCGGACACTAGAAAACCTCTACAAACATTTTATAGACTGACCTCCGGAGCAGAGCATTCATTTGCATATAGGTGGCTAGTAAAGACCTTGACTTGATCCCGCCTTGACGAGTTCAGTGACATGCTTCAGTGCATTCTTCATAGATCCTTCCCTTGTATAGAATTGGCACCTGCATCTTGGAGCAGCTGTCCGGGCAGCATGCATTGTGCACTCCTTCCGAAATGCAGATGCATAAATTAAGTTAAATCCATATGGATTCACTGTCTACACATTGGCTTAAAGCATTGTGTCATTTCACCACAGTGCTCCATGCTTCTGAAGATTATCCGGGGGGGGGGGGGAGAATCATTTGGTGGGAAATGTGCTATTATTACTAGTTTGGCTGCGGGAGAACTGGGGCCAGCTCTGCCATTAGGCAGAACGAGATTGCTACCTTAGCTCAATTTTTGAGTGCTATGAAAGTGCAGAAAGTTGTATTTTGACTGTGAGGGTGGGGTAAGATGCACGAGGGATTTTCTGCCTTGGGTGCTAAAATAACTTAGCTGATTTTGGGCACTCTGCACCTTGACTGGGGGAGGGATGTCTTTTATTGCAGTGCCTCAGGCAGCAAAATATATTGGGCTAGCCACGAAGGAAACAGAAAAACCTATGAAGTGAATACCAGTTTAACAGTTGGCTTTTACAATGTGCTGTGTGAAACAACTAGACCAGGGGAGCCGAAACTTTTTTCAAAGGGGGGCAGATTTGAAGTGAACATGTGACCAAAGTTGTTGAGCTTTTTTAAGGATTGAAGTTGCTGAGCTTTTTTACCCCATGACATACACTGCCATGGGCGACGGATTTAATCGGCCGGCGGGCCAAATTAGGCCCTCAAAACGGACTTTGGGCATGCCTGAACTAGACTCATGGGCTGAAGGTGCTTTTGCCTCTTGTTTTGGCAGCAGCCCTTCATGCTGTAAGGGAAAACATTTTTCAAAAGGAAAGCAGCCTTTGGTTTAGCACTAAGATCCAATCTTTATTTTTTTAAATAAAAAAGCTCAGAAATCCATTGGCTACCACAGACTGTTTGGTTTGCCTGAACTGGCCGCATGTATCTCAGCCCAGGTGTTCAATATGAGCTGCTGTGTGTCCCAATAAGTGAGGACCGAATATTCTTTTCTCACAGTTTATGAAATGCCACTGGGTGAAACTGAGGCCTGGTCTACCCATGAGGCAGAGGAGCTCAGAGGTGGAAGAACAGAAGGCTCCACTAGATTGCTAGTGCAGAATTCCATATTTGCATGCTCTCTTGTAGGAAAGAAAACAACCCTGCAGACAGAAAACCAGTATCACAAAGAATAAACTGGGTTTAGAACTGTGCAGGAGTATACTGTGCAATTCTTAATTGTTTTGGAGTTGTTTTTTCACAGAGAGCAGCATCCAAAATTGGTGCCCCTACACGTAGTGTGAAATGGTACACTCCAGACTCTACCATCCTAGGATCATAACTATCAACTTTCCCCTTTTTTTAAGGGAAATTCCCTTATTCCGAATAGGATTCCTCACAAGATAAGGGAAAAGTTGACAGCTATGCTCAGAATTCTCTAATCCCGCCCCCCCAAGCTCCATTCTGCTGCATGTGTAGACCAAGCCTGCTCCTGGCTTCTGTAAAGGGCACTCAAAGGGATGCAATCGATCCAGTTTTATATACCACTTAATAAAAAAAAATCTCTAAGTGGTTTACATAAAATGATATATAACGTTCATAAGGAAATAGCAATAAAATGACATTTATCAAAATAACAGAGAAATCAACCGTTTTAAAACTAATGTGTATATAAAAGCGATGTGTCTGCATGCTTCTTTGTGTCATTTATGCTGGTTTTTGGAGAATGTCCCAGCATTTTTTGCTCGTTTACAATCTTGTGATATGCGTTTCACAGTGCAATCTTATACATGTCTATGGAAAAGTAAGCCCTACTGACTGTCAGGTAAGTCGACATAGAGTTGCAGTCTCAGATGCATATCCGTGTTCTTTGGTAAGGCTGTGCTAATATGTATTGAGTTCTGGAATATAGGAAGCAGCCGTATACTAAGTCTGAACATGAATAAGTGTTAGCTAAGGGATTGGCTCTCTTGGGTAGAATCCAAAAGGGAACTGCAATTAATCAGAAACTCTTGAAAACAGAGCATTTTAGAGCTAGTTATCTGACCAAACTCTCGTCAGTTTCCTTCAGAAATGTCTTTACTGAGCTGCGTTTCCAAGTGATTCCCACTACAACAAGGTCCCATACGCAGACAGCTTTTGTATTTGTGGTGAATCTCGGGTGCAAGACCTCACTCATTATCTGTTAGCCTGCCCTGTATATAGAGACCTGCTTTCTGAAACCTTTCTTCACACAGGCAAGCAGGAACACCCTGGCAGAAATTGTCTGGTTTCTTTTGAGTGACGGTAATAGCTTTGAAACACACAGGGCAGCCCTCTAGACATTGGCTGGGGGGGTGGGAAATGGGAAAATGGAGTTAAATAAAATTACTACAAATTGTTGTGGTGATTTGTGGAGGTTTAATTTGAAATCAAGCTGGATTTGAGTTTGTTGGTGTCTCTGATCACCGCTGTCTTGGATGTTGGCTCATATTATAGAGGTATTAAATTGAATTGAATTGACTGGTGGAGGCTTTCCAGGGGTACATGCAGGAGACATTCCCAGTCCTACACAGAGATGCCAGCGACTGAATCTGGGGCTTTGGGCCTTTCCCAGATTTTGAAACTTCAAGTCCAAGTGGGTCTTTGCTGTAGAACCAGTCCATCAGTCAGGCTGCCTTGTTAATTTTACAAAAATATTCCAGGCAGGCTCTTATGGACTTAACCCTACAGCACACCTGTTCATAATTCTGCCAACCTGAATGGCTTAATGGTGAGACTTTGAAATGCACTGTGCACCAGAATTGCCTGCCAACTAAGCATCGCAGCAAGGCACCTCTGGAATGATATATGGCTGCAGCCAAAACCACAGCGAAGAGCCAGATTCAAGTGGTTGCGCTATTAATAGGATTGCATTTGTAAATAATCCTAGCAGTTCACTATGAAAGTCAGGCCCCAGTGCGAATGAATGAAAGACTGCTGTCTGAGTCAATATGTAAGGACGTTGCCAGATAGACAATGAGCCAAGACTTTGTGCTACTGTCAGCACAGAGGAGCAGTAGGGTGCATTTGAAGGTGTGTGTGAGAGACATGCCTAAGGCCACCTAATGAGTTTATGGGCAAGGCAAGATTTGAACAGGGGATATCCTGACCATATTGGTTGTGAGTCCTGGAAGACCTGCTCCCTGCCTTGCAGGCCTTTTTCACCTGGTCTGGGTGGGTGTTTTATTGCATTTTTAATATTTTGTTGGGAGCCGCCCAGAGTGGCTGAGACAACCCAGTCAGATGGGTGACTGACAAACAAACAAACAAACAAACAAACAAACAAACAAACAAACAAACATTATTTATACCCTGCCTTTTCCCCTGATTCAAGGTGGCTTACAGATAAAATAGAGAAAGCAAAAAACAAAAACGAAGATTAAAAAAATAATAATTAAAACAGTAGACATTTTTTTACAAGGATCTAAAAACAGCAAAATTGTGCACTGTTTTACTTACTGCCTTTGGAGCAACTTTTTCCTTGTCTACCACGAATCCCCGCATAACATGTTGAGTGCAAGAGTACAAGGTCTAAAGGCTAGGATAAATGCCAGACTCAGCAGTTCTGCTCTTAAGCCTGTAGGACTTTGTCAACAGTGCACAGGATGTCTTTGGAAGCACAGTTAGGTGGGATTAAAAGAGAGACTCTCATGAACTACAGCCCATGTGCATACAGTGTGTCCAGATGTGCTAGCTAAACACCAGGTCAATTCATGATAAGTGAATTGTGAATGGTGTAGTGCAGTGGTTAGAGTAAGACCTGAGAGGCCAGGGTTCGAATCCCCACTTAGTCAG